GGCGAGCGATGATGTCAATAATGTTTTCATCTGGTTGAAATATATGTCATATGCAATTAATTAAATGCAGCAAAAAAAGTGGATTTATTTTAGTGTGTTTGTGTGTGTGTATGTGTGTGTGTGTGTGTGTTTGTGTGTATGTGTGTTTGTTTGCAAGCAGCTATGGAGTAAGTAGTAAGTGCTTGTGCATCAGTTGATGTCAGCAAAGAATCATGACAGGCCGTACTTACCGTTTCGTTGAAACTTTTCATATCTGCTACAGGAAAGGCTGTTTCACCTCCTTCTTCCACATCATTGAGATAGTAAAGAATAGTGATGTACCTGTACGGTAAAGAAAACATGTTGTCTTTCAATTTTATCAAAATATGTATGTGAGAACTTTACAACGCGTAAAGTATCACTGCTTAAAGCTCTTCCCCACCATTAAAAGGTGTATCAGTTACAATTCAAAATGGTCGGAAATTATTCTCATGAAATTGTTCTCACCGCAGAGGGGCGAGGTAAATATCGACCGTTAGCCACCGACACTGAGGTGAATATTTGTTTTAGTATATACTAAAACAATGAGATAATATAGCACAGAAAGATGATTTTAACACATTTATTTGTGGAACGATTGAAATATTTTTTAGTGGAAATTCCGCGCGCGTTGCTTTGAGGTGAATAGCATCGAATATTCGGAGTTTGAATAGCCAATCAGAGCGCACCTTTAACGCTATCCATTTTTTTAGTATTTTTTTTTTACTATCAGCCGGGGCAGATCCAGGTTTTAGTCAAGGGGGGTTCGGAGAATTGTCCCCCTCCCGAGGGGTCCGAGATTTTGAAAATTAGGTCTTCGGAAACATGATTTCCAGCGTTCTGAGGGAAAATTTTGGAGGTTCGACCGAACCACCCCAACCACCCTTGAATCCGCCCCCAGTAACATGAGTTCTTAATAACGGAGATGAAAATTATGATTATCGTGTTGTGTGCGACCTTATACTATAACATGAGAACGGAACCTTTTCTCCTGGCATTGAGGATAGTTTACCTCCTCCGCATTGGAAATATCGACCAGCTACGAGCAAGATAGACTACCGAACAGAGTGACGAGTTCCGTACCTGCAGATTCTACATTTAGCCAAAGCTGCATTTTTGAGGTCATAGTGACAGCATTTGGTTCCAGCTGGGTAATCGCTCTTTCTGGAACTGTCATAGTGAGCATGGTAATGGCCATGGGGACCATATTTGACAACCTGGAGTAAATCAGATATTACTGTAAACACAGCTTAATTTGGGTACAAGTGCATTACCAAATACTTTATAGCATTTCTAAATCTCAAATTGAAGTAACAACATAAATTTGAAACTGTGCAGTTTCACCTGTAAAGGCTCGCCTCCATAAACTATCCCCTTCTGAAGACGAGTAAGCTTGTAAACTCTGGAAACAAAATCCAACAATAAATTTCTCTTTCAATACAGATTCTTCAAGGAATGTTTTCTCTGCAAAAACTACCATCCTCATGAACAACTTCTTGTCAACTTTAGAATTACTTAAGAAGCCTCTGGAGCGATCTGACTTTTACGACAGAAATAAAACTGTACAATCACAACTAAAAGAATTGCTGTAATTGCCGAGTCTTGCCACCAATGGAAACCACTGCGCAAAACTGACCGACTTCAAGGGCAACACTCGAAGGGCATGCATCTTTTAACTTGTGTTAATTGATGACTTCCGCATTTGCTAAATTTCTCTACTCCTCAGACAGCGGCAGAGCCATGCGCTTAGTTTTTGCATGTTTGCAAAAGTAATCGTACATAGTTATGTCCAAGAATCAGGCACTTTGAAAATTTTGTGCAATATCATCAATATTTGGCCAGTGCTTTCCAGAACAACAAAACTTTAGCCCCACTCATATCGATTTATCAATCCTGTAGTCCTGAGTACAATTGATTTTTAAAATTTCATGGTGATTCATTACAAACTCATATAACAATGACTCCAGTCTTGCCAGTCTTCCCAACATTAATATTTACACGCATGCCAAGGGGCAAACTAAAGTGTTTACCCCCTCACCCTCCCTCCTTAGCATTAGTTTTTACCCCCTCACTCTCCCTCCTTAGCATTAGTTTTTACCCCCTCGCCCTCCCTCCTTAGCATTAGTTTTTACCCCCTCACCCTCCCTCCTTAGCATCGTTCTTTTGCAGAAATTTGCTTCTAGAAATTTTCAAAGGAATGTCATGGAACTCCGCACATTTAAAAACTCGAAGTTCGGTTAATTCAACAAACCCGAGTGTTTTTTTAATGTGAATGAATCGAGCGGCGAGACCATGTTCATTTGATGTTTAGTTCGTTTTTTGGTCGTTTGCTTTTGTTTTGCCTTCGCTTTTTATTCGAATGGGAAATCGGAAAAGCGGAGTTATGTGTTGAAATGATTCGTATGCTTACCGTTCTCTTAGTCTTCTGAGAACGTCATCTGCTTCAGCTGTCTGGAAGAGCCAGACCTGATCACTGAAGCGATCTCTGTGATGAGGATGTTTCTCTTTCACATCATTCATGTACATGTCAATAGCATGTGTTTTAAATGTCCTCCATTCAGGGTATTCTACTTTGCCTGTTGAAAACGGATATAAAAATTAGTTACATGTATAACGACATCTTTTGCAGGGAGTAGTCATGTGCAAATGTCTCATTTGACAGTGGGGAACTGGTAAGGCAAATCTTAAATCGATTGGCTTCGACTGGGTCAAGAAGTGAGAGCAGAAAGAGAGAGATAGAGCTTCCAGACTGGTTTGTTACGGTATTTGTGAAATCTGAGCGAATTCGGAAAAAAAATTTCAAAATGTCGCCTTAACAAGAGAAACCTCGCGATCTGAAGTTTAATATTTTTCCCATTCAAACATTCTGGCCCCTAATTCGAATATAACGGAGACAAAAGAGCCTACATTGAAGTAGAACTAGGAGAAAGTTTTTGCCCTTCTAAATTTGCCATATCCAGCGCTTACCGTCTTCGAATTCTTTCAACTCTAGATTTTCTATCCTGTAAAACAAACGTGTTATAATCATAATTATATCGTACCTTACTATATGAGTAATTAAACAAAGCATGAACTAATAGAAATATTAACTCACATTTCATCGACCTCTTTCGGTGAAAGGTAAAGATGTTTAAACTTTTTAGCAAATATTATCACCTGTGAAGCAAAAAGGAAACAAATGTTTTCACCTAATGTTTAGTCAAGTATGGATATGTGTTGGCTGTGGTTCATATCCTTCATTCGAAAGTTAATATTTTTTCAAAACCGCCGTGGTTCTTATTTTCCTTTGCTTTATTTATAGTAATGAAAGAAAAACCAAGAAAAATTTATGATGTTGAAAATCTGAAACCAAAAAGCTAATTGAGCCACTACATTTGCATGAAGATTGTTAGTGAGCTGGCATCGTCGTAATGTGTGCCCATCTCAAGTGAGTCATCACTGGCGGATCTAGGGGGCCCCCCTTATTTTGGGTAAAAAAATCGCCGAAGGAAGAAAACTCCAGCAGGGAAAGCGATATTCGCTTTAAAGTGTTTTAGGTGTACACACACAAAAAAAGAACGGCGTCCCCCTTCCCCCACACTCCCCCACACTCCCCCCCACTCCCCCCCAATTCCTTAGCTCTAGGTTTGGTTCCGCTTCCGGTCATTGCCAACCTGTGATCATCACCGTCATTAGCACATTTTGGCTTTACCTTGCCCTTACTATTGCATAGTTTATTGCATACTGCTTAGAACTGATTCTTGGTTAAGATAAACCTCACTAAGGTCCAATTGGTATAAATTCATCGACTAGCTTCAGCGAACGTACATGTATAGAGCACGAGCTCACCTCATCATTTGTAATTTCATAATCATGATCGAAGTCCCAGTTCAGAAAATATCCAGCAGAGCTATTTGAGTGACCTGTCGAAAATTAAAAGTACAAAATCGTCTTGTAACGAAACTAAGTCTGCAGTGGTATAATTCACATGCTGCAGGTCTTTTGAGTAAAACATAATCATCCCGATCCAACACAGAAGAACCTTATCGCCCTTGATTGAAAATTTAGGCAGATAGATTTAGCAAGTACAGTCTTTGTTCCTGGCCAGGATCAAGGTTGATTGTCTTCAGTCAGCAACGCCACCCTCAACCTCGTTACCAGGGCCTTTTCCCTTAGCTGGGGGTGGGACGCCCCAACCCCAACTCCACCCCCAACTAAGGAAAAAGGCCCTGAGAACAAGGTTGCGCCACCCTGAGCAGAGACTCCCTGACGTGCCTGGGGTTGAACCCCGCGTAATTTACCTTCAGTCGATCTGATTGTTTTCCCGTGCTGTTTGGCCACTGGGTCCAAATGAATGTCACTTTTAGCAAATCCAACGTATTCAGCGACATCAATTATGTGATCAGCTTCTTCTGGGGACAAGAACTCCGGAATTTCTTAATGAAAAGAAGTGAAAAGATACGTCTAAAAAAAAAAAAAGGCATAAGTTGGAGAGGAATGTTAGGCTCTTTCTCAGTTATTTTTGATGGGTGATTTTGGGCAATTTACTGTGTAAAAATTTATGAAAAAAAAGTTTACAAAGTACACCCTACAAGCTCACGACTCAGTTGAAGATATTCACTCATTTAACAGCTTCGGTCTTCACAACGAGACAAACAGTGAAGCTCTCTGATTTGACGAGGCTTCTTTTTTAGGAGTATCTAAGTGGAAAAGGGTTTCATTCCTTTCAAATTGGTTACAATTTTCGATTCTTTGTCATAGCAGATTCCCCAATTCATTTGTGGCCCTATATACATAGCTTCCAAGTTCTTATCAGGATCATTCCCCTTTGAATTGAATTCCTAACGAGAGTTGGTGTTTTGATCGAGATAACACCGTCCAGTTGGAACCTGATCATTCTGTCAATTCTCGTCATCCGTTTACTGGATACTTGATGATGTCAGTAGAACTGCGAGGAGAGGTTATTTCATTATCAGCTATATACATCTGCGTCTGTAATAGAATGGATAATGTTTTGTTACTCTACCAAATAACGCTGGCTGTACAGCTCTGGTGATCATGGTGTAGATCTTCTCCCCTTCGAGCCTGAGCTTTCGTTCGTATCCAACCTGTGAACGCACAACGTTTCCATTAAGTTACAACCAATTGGGAGCATTTTTTATCTGTATTCTACGAAATGTCATAAAACTCTTCAAGAAAAAGGTAAATTTCCGAGGGATTCTATTTTATCTGAATCACCCAGTGCTAAACTAAATTACTGCTCATAGAAATATTTTATGGGAAACAAAAGTAGGTAAAAGAACAAAAAGCTTATTTGATAGCTTGTAACCTATGATTGATCATGTTATTCAGTCAAGAGTTATCAAAAAGATTACACGGTCTTAGAACACCGTCATATGGTGGCTTGTGTAGTTGACTGTCTGGAAGCACACTACCTAGCTATTACAACGTTCGCACCTTGGACCGCTTTGTTGACAGAACCAGGTTGAGGCAGCTGATGTTATGATTGCGGTACTAGTGATATTGCATACGTTTGGCTAACTTGTGAATAATAATAACATTCGTATCAAGAGTGCTATAGAAGAAGATAGGGATGTATAACTGAAAACAGAAGAATCAGCGTCGAAGTGCCAAACAGCTTGCGAATTCTATTTCATTCTCCATGATGGCGGGATGCCAAAATGGTTTACGATAGCAAGTTCATAACTTGATATTGTGAGTTAAAGGACTGTTCGAAGTTTTGAAGGGTCAATTTCTGGAACTTTCTCCTGTCTTTCTCCTTCCCCGACCCCGGAAGTGAAGCGCGATCTCGTTTCCCGGAACAATGGCTGATTTTTCGAGCCTTAGAATTCTTCGTTTCATTATTTCTTTGTTAGATTTTAAGCCTCACATAGATAAAAAGGTTAGTAGCTTGACCCAAAAGGGAAAGAAAGAGAAAGAAAAGAGTCAACCAATAGGATAAATTGTGTCTATAACTGATTTAATTTTTGCCCAATTCTGAGATTAATATTAGTACCTTCTACAGGAATCATTGTTATTGTTATTTCATTCGTGCGTAAAAAAGTTGACAGGATTTCAAAGCTAGCTGTTTTTGATAAGGATTCGGCAATACTCAGCAAATAACAATCCTGACTCTCAGCGAAAAACTTATTTTTTAAACAAGCAGTTTTGTAATCATTCCGCCGAAAGAAACTGGGGAATTTCCTCATTACTACCGCGTTGAGGAATAGGCGATTTACGTACTATGAAACTAGAAAGAGTTGATTATATTGTCTACATTTTCTAACTGACAAACCTTCACAGGATCCCAGTGGTATAATTTCTGCCGTCCATCGTCTTTGCAAGGTCCTCCATTTTCTACAAAGCAATGGCCCGTTGAACACGAGGTTTCTCCGGCCTGAGTGGCGCCGTGTTCGCTCGCGAGTCCTCGATGAAAAACTGTTAACATCAAAATTAAACCAGAGAAATTTGTTCTCATGATTTATGTATAAAAAAGAAACTGCTCCCTGCCAACTCGGTAAACCAAGTTTTCTATAGCTTTGTGGACGGAACAAATTTTCACTCAAAGCAAGATAGCAAGCTCCTATTACAGCGACTGATAAAAAGAAGTTTACAATAAGGAATCAATAATTAATTGGGTCCATGCAAGATTTTTGGTGGTGTTTTGTTACAAAAGAGAAGATTTTAGAGACACCCCCTGTGTGGCTCTCTGTCTTTTGATACAGCAGGAAGTTTGCCTTTTTTAAACTAACAGGTTTCTAATAAGACCACGTGTATTTGAAATTGGTTTCCATGGCAATCTATTGCCAATCCATTCCTTTTTCCTATTGGCCATTTGATATTCAAGAAAGCGAGAGCTAGCCAGGGCACTGTGGAGGACAGTACTCCCATAGAGAGATTGATGACTGGTACAGCAGAGCTAAACGTCTGTCACAGTCTTTTCTCTACGCTTTCATCTCCGCCTATCAATTTTTCGATTTTATTCATTACTTCATGCCATTTTAACTGCCTGTGTTGTCTTGAGGAGAGCCGGTCCACCAGTGGGAAAGTGTTTTACCGCGGCTCATGACAAATTCCTAGTTGTACTTCAACTGTCGGCAAAAAGCAAGACTGATGACTTTCAGCCAGTCTGCGACAAAGGCACACACGATGAAAAGGAATTCCGAATTCCTCCGAAAAGAGACGAATCAACCAATGACCTCAGATTAGTTTATGATATGGTCTACCACTGAAATAGAGCAAAAGAATCCCTGGTCGCTCAGACACTAATCATCCAAAAATGATAAAATGGATGCAGCGCCGTAAATTTATACTAGTTTTCGATTTCGAGGGGTCAAAACTACGGAAATTTTGGGAAGAAAAACGGAAAAGACGATAGCTTTGATTTAATCCGACTGTGCTTAAGCTGCAACGCGGATAGAAAAAATCGAAACGGGCCTTTCTAGACCAAAGATAAAATTGATTGTCATTTCTTCTTCTGTTTGAGAGAGGCCTGTTTTGTTATTTAAATCTTGATCAGAATTAACAATTTGTAATTCTACAATATTTTGCCCAAATAACTGAAGACAAAAACAATGACAAAAGAAAACAAGCCACAAGGATTATCAGGACTTTGTAGATGAACTAACTTCAATATTTCATTTTCATTCTAATGAGACAGGTGTTTACAAAATTTGAATCAGCCTCAATGATATCTCAGTAAGAATGCTGAATTATAAATTCAAGTCTCTTTTCAGGGAACCAACAGGGCGCTTGATAATTTCAAAACAATCTTTTGAATCCGCGACTAATGCATAAAGCCGACGCTGATTCTGCTTTCAATATCCAAAATTTGGAAGCGTTAAACGGTGATATTTGACATCAGCAGTTTGAAAGTAAGATGTTTCAGTGATACCTTTTTGAACGATTTAACGGGCATTAGAATTGCAGAAGCAAAGGTTGGGACTGTGGCTGTAAGCTTGTAGTTGTTGTAGGAAATGCAGTGTAGCTATTTTAAAATCGCCAGCATTATTTTGTCAACCACGATCTATTTTCTTGAGTTTTGTAGCTACTAGTTAGTGTTCTGAAGCATAGCAAAACTCTCATAGAAAAACAGCACTTAACCTAATTGTCCTAACAATGAAAATTCCCGTTTTGTAAAGTAAATCAATTTTTGCGGCAAGATTAGCAGAATGATTAGCTTGAATGACGGCTTCTCACGCGCTTAATTCGACTGAAATATAGGAACGGTAGGCCCATTTTATCGAACGTCCATCTTTTTCCTTTTCAGTTTTAGCAGAGCTTTTACCTCTTATAAATACATCGCCCGTTTAAGTTATAACTCTTCGCTGCTTGTATATACAATACAATTTTGATCCTCCATATTTCATTCGCTTCATTTAATTTCCCGAAGAACGTTGGTGTTCAAGTTAGTCGGATTGCCGTGAACTATTACGTTGTTAACTGAAAAAGGTCGTCATTGTTCATCTTGATGAAATACGAGGCCTGATGGTCATTTTTCTACTTGGATTTGACTACATCTATCAGAATTGACTACGTTATAAAACGAACAATATCGCTGAAATATCATTGCACTTCTGTATAGTTCAGAGTGTCTCCTAACTTTAGAGCTTTATCATATTGACGTCTATGTGGCGGATAGTGAAGAAGATTTGCTACGTAAACGCTTCTCAACTGGAAATTAAAGGGATTAAAAAATTTAACCACGAAATGAAAGAAAAAAAGAGAAAGAAAATTTGCAGTGAGCGGTATATGGCCTCATTGTCAGCATTATCTCAGTAGCGTGATAAAGATAAATGCTGAGTTACTTATCCAGGAGTATTCCAAAACAGTCCGTTTGGATTCTTAATTGCTTATCATTCTTTATACAATCCAGTACTGCTATTGGCAAAAATTAAATAGGTAAAGTTTGATATTTGATAAGAGCAAAGCAAGATGTTTTGCCGGTCCATTTGCAGGTAATTGATCCCGATTGCAGTGGCCCAATTAAAGACATGATGAAATTTCAGAGACGCGTCATAATTATGTTCTTCTTCGCCGTCTTTCTTGCCACGTGGCTAGTGTTACAGATATTTGAAAGAGACCCGTGCAGTAAATCGCCCACCTCAGAGAGGTGAGTGCCCTGTTTTTGCATGGCTGTGAATTTTTTGTTCTATGTTGTTTTTTCCCATCTGGGGCTCGGATTTTTCTATTACACTAAAAATTGTTTCATCTTTATGTTGTTTTTGTTCTGTTTTGTTTTTGTTTTGTTTTTCGGTTTTCGTTTACTTATTTATTGATTTTATCTACTTAATCATTTTTCTGTACTCTCATAATGCAGCATAATTGCAAAAGAAAAAAAAACAGCTTTCGAGAGTGCATCATTTAAAACATTCCCGCTTTCGCTGTGCAGCGGTTTTTTTGCGTTCCCACAGAAAAGGAAGAATCGTAAGTTAAGCGGGAGTTACTCGAATGAAAACGGAAGAGGAAAAAGTACACTTGTGAGAAGGAACTCCCGCTCCGATCACGCCTCCGTTTGGCTCGGGAAGGATACGCGCCATGCACCACGCACCACGCACCACGCACCACGCACCACGCACCACGCACCACGCACCACGCACCACGCACCACGCACCACGCACCACGCACCACGCACCACCTCTCACTGCTAGCTGTGTCAAACGACTGAGCCTTTAAATTAATCTATCCTATTATGATGAAATCGGCTTGTTGCTTGTTGAGAAAGTCACTCTTGACTAATTTTTTAACTTTACAGAAAACTGATGGAAGTTAATCCGCTTGAGCAATCGACGGATAAGCCGAAACTTTATTGTGAACCGGTCAACAACATTTTATTTCTGAAGACGCACAAAACCGGTTCCAGTACAATGACAAATATTTTAAATCGTTACGGCGATACCAAAGGTTTAATCTTTGCCATGCCTGCTGCTAAAAAGAGCTATAGTTTCTACTGGCCTCTTTCCTTTTCACTCCGGTTTACACAAATACTGCGGTGGAAATCGCCAAATATCCTATGTAATCATGCCAGATACAACAAAGCACCATTGAACTGGCTTTTTCCGAAGGAGACAACTCGCTATGTTACACTGTTGAGGGAACCAACTCAGCATTTCGAATCTATTTTTAACTTCTTTTTTCTCGGCAAGCGTTTCAAAGGATTGGAAAATGTTTCGTCGCCGCTGGAAAAGTTTCTTCAAAACGCGACGGCATACCTTAGAGAAGCAAATCAAACCAAAAACCCTGGTTTGTTAAAGTTGATGAAAAATCCAGCGTTGTTTGACCTTGGTCTTGACACAAAGTATCATGATGATCCTATCATAGTGCAGAACTACATTGGATTCCTACAGAAAGAATTCGACCTTGTTATGCTCATGGAATACTTCGATGAGTCACTGGTGCTATTAAAAAGACGACTTTGTTGGAAAATCGATGATATTCTGTACTTTAAACTCAACGAAAGGAGAAACACAGATAAACAAAATCTATCAAGCGATGTAAAAGAGAAAATTGTGAAGTGGAATTCTGGCGATAAGCTTCTGTATGATACTTTCAAACGGGATTTGTGGAAAATGATAGCAGAGGAAGGAGCAGATTTTTTCAAAGATCTCGTGATCTTTCGAAGACAATTAAAACTCATCAAAAAGGCTTGTCTACAAGAGGGGGATTTTCTGACCAAACCCTACGCTGGGAGACTGGTGCGAGGCTATGCGGTGAAAGCTAACATTTCTGAAAGTTTAAATGAATCTTGTGGTCGGATGATAATGAATGAGATTCCATACCTGGACTATCACCGGGAAAAATTGTCTCGACAACTTTTAGCTATTGACAAACATGAAAATCAAGTAGATCGTCTTAGATAAAAAAAAAAAATTTAAACGTAGTTAAACATGAATACTGTTTATTTGTTTTGTCTTCTTCGCCAACGATCGCTTATTGGTGCAGTTGTGGTCAAGAATATCGACGGACCCCCGTCGCGAGGTATGCAAAGCATACCATACTCTCACACAATAACAGTTGGGACAACTTGTGGCACACCACTTGCACTGTTTGTCCAGGTCCTCATACCCTTGCGATGAAGTCGGTGATTTCCAGTTTGAACTCGGAAAATTGGAGACCAACATTGGGAGGGGCCCAGCTGGAAAGAGAGCAAGTGCTCCCACGAGCGCCCGCATACCTAACGTAACCCAGTTGATGTAACAATTACAATTACCCAATCAGAAGCTTTTTCTTACCCATTCCCTCTCCTCTAGGCCTTATGGAACCAACAATGTAGCTAATCCTGCTAGGGAGCTGGGGGCGGTTCATCAGGAGGGAGAATAACAATCATTGTTTACTCCAGACACAGGCGGCCCTAGCTCTCTTTCAGAACCACACAAGGAACACAATTTGCAGATCGATTTATAAGGATTTGTATGGGATTTTCTACAAGATATCCATAGAAATAGTTAAAAGTGAAAATATTAAATAAAAATGGCTTACCTTATTCCATACGTGTGTTGCTTGCTCTTGGTGTCGTTATTTTACCGATTTCACTTGATTTAAGCGGTTTTTTTTTAATCCAGGAGCAAGCAACACACGTATGGAATAAGGTAAGCCATTTTTACTTAATATTTTCACTTTTAACCATCTCTATGGATATCTTGTAGAAAATCCCATACAAATCCCTATAAATCGTTATGCAAATTGTGTTCCTTGTGTGGTTCTCAAAGAGAATTTGGGCCGCCTGTGCTCCAGATAGCAATAAACGGTAACTCCAGTCATGCATAAATCTGAAAAAATCTCCAAAACAAGCAGTTTCATTCTGGTCAGTCCGGTCAAGCTAATGATAAGCTGCAGAGATTGTTCCGTGCTGATCCAATATGAGTTGTTTTTCCTCAGTAGTAACACTACTCAGATAAGGCATATGTGATACTACACAACAAAACGTCTACTAAGATATATTTATATTATTATCCAACTGTGCTTCGCAGATTACAAATAACGCACGAGACGAGTACAAATATCACGCGATATTTGTACTCCAGAAATATCCGCGAAATGCGCCCGCACTGAAATAACAATTTGGCGTGTTGGATAATAAATCTCTTATTAGAAGTTTTGTTGTGTAGTGTCGCTGAGTAGTTTTACCCGTTATTTGTATTTTGACTCGCCCTACGTGCTCGTCAAAATACGGCACAACTCGTAAAACGTCTTATAAGTTATTGATATATTGCCCGAGTTGACCCGCAAGCTCTGTCTCAAGTATTACGCTCTCCGAATCTTATGGTCTGGATCGAAACTTAAGAGCACGCGCTCAAAGTCCTTGATCGAATAATAAGCTGTCTCGTGCTTTCATACATAAGGATCTGTCGTATTTTGTGACGATTCCCAAGGCAAACAAGCAGGCAGCATGAATGATTGATGCAGCCTATTTTGCCATGAAATATAATTTAAACGCTTAGATATTCGTGATTGTCCTGATCAATATCCCCGGAATTTTCATAGCGGAGTTTTGACCGAGACTA